CACTGATAGTCAACAGCCGTTCAAAGGCTGATATCATTTGCTAAAAGAATCTTTGCCAGTTGGATGAGTGACAGAGAAAAAGGAGGCAGAAAGAAAAAGCTAAAATAACAATGCATCCATATATGGTAATTTGCATTCACACAATCACTCATGCACCCTCTCTGGCACAAAGCCCTTGTCACATTCATACCTGGACTCTCGCCACCGACAGACACACAAATATACAATCCACTCGGTGCTGTCTGGCTGTGGTATTATTGTGAGGGCAGCACTTCAAATGGTAAATGCCAAACAAAAATGGAAATTAAAGGAAAGGAGGCAAAAGGAAAGGGAAGGAGAGAGAAGAAGACATGAGTGAGGAAGGGGGAAGAAAACGAGGAGATGACAGTGCCTGAGGGAACAAACATCACCTCCTGTCTGGCTCTTTGACAGCAAGGAGCAGACAGGTGGAGAAGGGAGGAGGACAAGTGCAGCAGTGTGTGTGTGTGTGTGTGTGTGTGTGTGTGTGTGTGTGTGTGCATGTGTTTGCACAGAGGTGCGGCATCTTTCCAGCCAAGAGAAGGGCATCTGTCCGTCACCGCTCGATTCGGACTATAGCGTGCGGCAGCTGTCCGTGTCTGTCTGAGTGCCGTGCTATTAAACGCTATACCTGGCCAGTGTCTCACCATAGATCTGCAATACCATCATGCATCTGTCCAGCCGTCTGTTATCCTCATGCTATCTGTCACTCTGCCTGTCTGTCCTTGTGTCTGTCTATCTATGAAGCAAAGCTGCATGTTTCTATTGCAGTGAGCACTCTTTCTGTCTGTTTGCCCACCTGCTTGCCTATCTGATGCTTCCATAGCTGTGCTGCCTTGCTGTCACTCTACATACCATCACTGGCTTTCTGTATATGCTGTGCATATGCCAGCACGGTCTGTCTCTCTGTTCCCCGTGGATCTCATACACTGATAGATGACTGGAAGATATACTGGGACCAAAGCTCTGCAGTTGCTGCAGGGGGTGCCCCCTCCTCCCTGCTTCCCGGCACATGACAGTGGCCTTTAAAACACACACAGGCTGTCAGTCTGCATACATATACACTACACATACACACTCGCTGGCATAACTGAGTGTCTGGAAGCAGTTGTGGGATTGGGAGGGCAGTGGATCAATGAAGTACGCATGTGTGTGAATATGAATGTATATGTGGAAAGGTTTGTATAATTTTCATGCTTGTTTTAACTCCCTTTGGGGTTAAAGAGTAGCTTAGCATCAAGATTGACACAGAAAACATAGCAATTGACATAGTACATCACACCAGCTTCCTCTAAGGAGGTTTTCTGAGTTAAAACAACTCCCTAAATAATTATCTCTGATACTGTCATTTAAGTATGTATCAGTTTAGTTACTCTAACACTGATTACCGTGCCATAGGAATGACTTATCCCCACTCCCGGTCCATGAAAGCTTTTACATTTCCTGTGGTTGACTGCTTTGGCACACAGGTAGTGATGAATTCTGAGTGTTAGTTTTTGATGAACATAAAAGGGGCCTATTATTACACATGTTCAGAAATAGCCTTCATGGCTATAGAGAGGAAGAAAAGAAAAGAAAGCCCTATAAAAAAAAAACCCATAAGGTACTCAGCAGAGTACATAGGCTGACCATGTATTCAAACCCTCAAACTGTGACCCTTAAGTGTATCGGATGTTCATGCAGCGGCCATGCTTGCTCTCATGCACACACCATAAGTGTTTCAATCACCATCAACCATTCATCAACCTTCCCACAACGGAAGTGAACGGTAACGGATGTTGACAATGAGGCGGATTGTTGCTGGCGGACTATTTCATAGAAGAAGACAGCTCTTGCCCCTGTGATAAGTAAGTGAAACGTTGTTCTCTAGCTAACTATGATCCGTTGTATGTCACTTCCGTTGTAGTTCACTTCCGTTGTGGCTTTTGTATTCGTGTTCTGGCCTTTGTATTTGGCCTCACACCTCTGGGCCACCGTAGTCCGATGACTCATTGGCTAGCAACAGCCCTGACATTTAAAAGCCGGACGAATGGCCACCCTAATCCACAGACCGCACTGTTGACCATTTTTGTAGGAACTATTTCTTCAGTAGTAAAGTAAAGTAGTTCCAACAAGACAAAGAGCCTACAACTCTGTTAGCAACTCTATGTGTACTAGCTCTACTTAGAGCTAAATGCCAATATGCGAACATGCTGATGTTTAGAAGGTGTAATATTTACCATTGTGACCATCTTAGTTTAGCCTACTAGTACAGCTGGGATTGATGGGAGAGTCATTCATTTTGTTGGTATTTGGTTATAACCCAAAGTATCGGGCAAATTAAAATGTTGACCTGATAATGGTGCTAGAGGAAAAGTAATTGGCTCACCAAAGACATAAGGATTCATCCTCTGGGGAGTATCGGTAGCACATTTCATGGCAATCCATCCAACAGTTGTTGAGATATTTCAGTCTGGACCAAAAGGGTGGACCAATGGACCGGCACTGCCATCAGTAGAGCCAAGCTGCTAGCGTGGCTATTAAAAACTGTTCACTGGTCCGTGGATTATCCAAAGCATGTTGTACTGTTATAGTGTCACATCTTTTAAATGTCATTTTTTATGGCTGTGAGCACTGTAAACTAAATTCCATTCATGCCCACTGTATTGGAGTGGTAGTGGAAATCACAGACTCAAATCCTGCGGGGAAAAAAAGAAAAAAGAATTATCTGCATGGCTAGATACCACAAGGGGTCAGTGAGAATTCATTTTTTTTCCTTTTTGTAATTTGGGTGAACTGACCCTTTTAAGACTTGATTTACTAGATCATAAACAGTACAGCAAAGAAAGAATTGGCCACACATGCTGAGTTTGAACCACAATAAATCCTCTAGCCTGTTGTGGCACAAGTTGTCTCTTTACACAGTGCCTAAAAGCGTATTTTCTGGTGCTGTGTACAGTACATCCAGCCTGGTTGTGCTTCCTGGCCAACTGACTTTGCTTGCCAAACACATGTATGGCAAAACTGACTCTCCCTGGCCAGGGGAAGAGAACACGCAGCATTCAAAGCCCCACGGAAAGTACCACACAAAAACACACACAGATGTATACATTTAATTTAATAATGTACACGTCGGCTCGATGGTTCAATAATAAAGAGAGCAAAACAGGCAAGTACACACTGCCCTCTTTTTTTTTCTCTCTTCCTTCCTCCCTCTCTCTCTTCCTCTCTCTCTGTCATACACACATACAGAGTCTCTCCCTGGTGGATAAATCAGTCCTTTCATGCTCTGTCGTCTGCCTGGCCCTGTTCTACTGTGTTTCTATAATGGAGAAGGAGCATTCCCTCTCTTTTACTATTCCAGTGGTTAAACATACGCGCACTGCCCCCCCCACACACACCAGAAGTCATTCTTCAAAGGACTTCTGGTGGAGTCGATCTACAAGTACATTGTAGACTGAAGATAGGGGACTTACAGCATGTGTAATGACTGAGGAGGACTGAGCAGCCTAATGAAATTGTGTGTGTGTGTGTGTGTGTGTGTGTGTGTGTGTGTGTGTGTATGTACGCGCATGTGTGTGAAGATGGTGAGGTACTGTATAATTTGCTCTTAAGTGATAAGGATAGAGGTAATAGCTTTTTGAAATAGGACCACGACGATGATGAAGATGGTGTGATGAGTATAATAATGTTATCATTGCCCGGTAATCAGGTGATGGCTTAGTGCTGATAATGATGGTGTTAATGATAATAATGGTGCCCCTGTTGAAAAAGATCTGCATTTTTTTTTAATGCAGTAACTAGGCCAAAACAGAGGTGTGATTTTTGTCCATAGACTCCTATATGTTAAAGATACCACGTGGAATTTTTTTAATATTTAAAATCATACATTGTTTACATGTATCTGCATGCTTCGGCGTCCTTGTGCATGTGTGCATTATACAAACCAAACAGGGACCCAGTCATGAAAACCCCACAGGGTACCTTTAAATATTGTCGGTAATCGGATAAAACAAGCTCAAAGAGTTTAAAAGTTCCAGGAACCATAAGAAGAGGTCACTATACGATAGCTAATAATGGCATATACAACAAGTCACAGGCAGAATTCTACTGGACAAAAAAAAAAAAAAAATCAGCCATTGCTATTTAATTTTTAATAAATGATTTACTAATACTTTATAACTCATTTATAAACCATTAACACATCTGGCCAGATATATGATAAGAGGCCAGTATATGATAACTATGATAAATGTCACCACAGGAACACTCATATTACAGAACATTTGGTACAAATTTTTGATGAGACCTGATTTATGAAAGGTTTATAAATAATGTGAATAAATCATTCAATACTTCTCTATGTGAGATGATAAGGAAATGAAAATGTTAATATTTGATAATAAATACTTACTACTTGTAAGCCTGGAACGCTTACTAGTTTATTTCTTGTCTTAGTAATCTCCAATGACTCATCTATAAAGCATTACTAAATGATTAGTAACCATTAATTAAAGCGTTAGTTGCAACTTATAAACCTTTCATACAGAGTTCCTTATTAGAAAGTGTTACCTTTTTAAAACGCCTTGTAGAAATGTTCCTGCAGCAGCTTACAGGGGTATTTCCATTTCTGAACAACCTGGCAACCCAAAGCTTGTTAATGTCTTATAACTGATATATACAGCATTAATATATTATCAATTAACCGTTAATTAGGGCATTATATAACTCATCTAGTAAGGGTTCCCTATTGGAAAGTGGTGCTGAACTTTTTTCTAACATAAAGACACTGGCGTCCCAATGTAAGCTCCTATTGAATTATTATAGATTACAGAGATACCTACACAGTACCCAGAATGCCTTACCACATGAATAGTATGCTCATCAGAACGCGTATTGATTTTTGGATGACATGATGATGGTGACGATGACGATGATGATGGTGGTGGTGGTTGAGGGGGAGGAGGTGATTATGAGTGATGATGGACATAATACCAATAATAATCACTTCCGAGAGAGAGCGGGGATGAAGAGATCAAGAGAGGAAAAAGAGACAAAACGGAGAAATTAGAGCCAGTGGAAACGTGCTGAGGGATTTTCAAGAGTCACGTTATTATTCAGGAGGGAGAGAAAGGGGAGAGAGAGGGGGAGAGAGAGGCGCGATAACAGCGTTTGTCCTTCTTGGACTCAGTTTTGTGACCGGCTGACGGGCAGAACGGGCGACGGACGCAGAAACTTGAGACCGTCACACAGAGATCCGACATCCAGAGGTAAATTCCGACTCAATCTGACTGAAAGCAGATAATCCTGTCACTGAGAGCGTGTATGATTTATTTTATTCTTTGCTCGGCGGTCAGGCTCACTGAAGATCAGACCTAGTTTCCCCTCGCTTGGTGTTTGGGAATTGCGTTTCTCTCTGCCTTCCTGCTCTTTGGCACCGCTGCTTGGCATTCATCAGAGATCACATATTTATTTGAAATTACGGTACGTGGCACTTCTAATACTTCAATGTCAATTTGCGGTTTCCTTGGATTGTTTGAGTGAAATAGATACATGTGGTTTATTCTCACCGGCGGCGGACCGACTCCGTGCGTATATGTGCGAGATCCCGAAGGGGGTTTGCAGGATTTCTGTGGTTCTAAAAGTGTATCCATTAAAGCTTCATGTAGAATTAGCCGTGAGTTATAGTTATTAGAAATATTACAGCGGGGCCAGTTTGATAGGAGACGACGTTGGACATACTAGAGTCCTAATTGGGAGCTTGGTCAAAGAGATTGAGGACCTGTCCGCTGGCGCACACTGGTGTGCGCTTTTATGTGGGGGAATTTCAGCGCCATAATAACTGTTGTATACATTGATTGATTCCGGTATTGATCCATTTATCGATTCCTCCAGATTTGTAGTCCATGATTTCTTCCGAGCACAAGGTGAGGAGAAGGGGCTGTCACTTTTGAACCGGCGCAATATTGTTACGCGTGTGAGCCGATTCCTAACAGACAGGCGTGCGTGTGCGCACTCCTGACTGTCTGCACGCAGCCGTTACCGGAGGACGGCGGGGAGCAGCGACTGACAGACTGTCACATACCGAGCACCGACACCCCGGGGCAAATATTTTACCTGCTAGTCGTCCGTATGCGCAATTTCTCCTCGGTTCAGCGCGTCTCTAATGAGGTTGATCGGCTCCGAGTCGCTTCAAAAACCCGGCTTAATTGCGTCCATTTATTACGCGACCCTATAAGTCGGTGATAATAAGTATTTGGCTCCACATCCAGGGGGTGTCGGTGATGAGCTCGTGCAAAATGCTCCTTTTTTTTTTTTTACGCTGTGCACAAATGTAATAGGCCTAATGTTTGTGTTTGTGTGAAAGCATGCATTGCCCTTCTGGGAAATACATTTGCTTAGATTTATGACCTGCCTTCCCAGGTTATATCGATTATTGTAGCCCGCTGTGTACTATATTTTTGTAAGAGCAAGAAAAGTGGGTCTGCCATATCTATATATAATTTCTTGATGTTGTAGAGAGCGCAGCCAGGTTTTGATACAGTCATCTTTGCAGCTGGGTCAGTTCTCAAGTGTAAAATCTGTGCTCTTATAGCCCCTTGTTGAACATTTACATAAAATCTAGTGTGATACATGAATGGTTGCCACACACACACACACACACACACACACACAAACACACACACACGATGGGCCTTAAGCGACTGTAATGGCTCTGATCAGTGTAAGACATGTTTATGTATGTGGAAAGCTCATGTATTATACATCACTGTGGCACCAAGTTTATGGGTACAATCAGTTTGATAGTGTGTGAACGCCACGACTCCATACTTGTTTACGTGTGTCTGTGATGATATGTGTGTGTGTTTGGGGACATTTATCACTTGCGGTATCTTTGATTACATGAGCACTTTACTGCAATTTCCTCCGGACCAGCCGTGGCATCACAAGGTTTTGTTTTTTGGAGGGGTGGGGGGGTGGGGGTAGGACGAGAGAGACTAGCGATTGGGCACACACTCTCTCCTCTTCTAAGGTGGTTAAGAGAGAGAGAGTGTGTGTGTCAGCATTCGTTAGTAATTGTTTACACTAGATAGCTCTTGCATTTACCCAGATGGGGACCGACGAGCGACGGGGATGTGAAGGAGGGCAGGGGGAGAAGAGGGAGAGGGGAGGTTAGGAGACATCAAGGGAGGAGGGGAGGGGTAGTTCAATGGAGAAAAATGGAGTAGATGAAAGGTGGACAGAGGTAGGGGTGGGGCAGAACATGAGGTGAGATAAGAAGAAAGGCTGGGAAATTAGAGGAGAGTAGGAGGAAGTGGAAAGGGAGGGGGGGTGGAAGCAGACAGGTCGCACTGAGTCGGTGACTTATGCTGGCGATAAAACCGCCTGAAGAATAGGAGCTGGAAAGAGAGGTGGTGTGCTTGTGACAAGCAAGGGACACACCAAATCCCATTAGCGGACATTACTGTGTATTATGGGCAACAGTAGAGGAAGGAGTTCGGGATAGATGGTGGGATACTGAGAGAGAAGGGAGGATGGAGCAACACCTGCAGACACAGAAAAACCCCACCAAGGACATATATAAAAGATGTTTGTGTGTTTAAGAAAGAAACTAGAGACTTCGAGGACGCGCTGGGGAACGGAATTTGAATTCACGTCTTGAATGAAGATTTTCTTTAACCATTTTCCCCAGCCAATCTTACATAACCGCGTTGCCGCTCCTGCCTGGAGTCCCTTGTAAAGTTTTGCCAAGAAGACAGATTACTTACTAATTATGTTCAAGAGACTCCACTGGCTGTCTTTCTTTGAAGACTCAATCAAAGTCCATCAATGACATGCCTCCAAACATGCTAGAGATGCTGCTAAACATGCTGATCACCCTTCTATGGGGGGAGAAATAATGGCTTCACATGCAGCCCCACCCTATAGGGAACATGGTAAATGATCAGTGAGCTCTTTGATTCCCTCCTAATGAGAATGGGAGAACCCCCAAGATGTGCACCCATGGGGGCTTTTCTCTTCCGCCGGAGTGTGTGGCAGTCGACGGACGTGTACCATTCATTAGCTGACAATTCAGTGAAATGAATCAGACAACATGGCCTCCCAGGGATCCTCGCACAGAACAAGGAAATAAATGCTTAGTGCTCAAGACGTGAACATTCCCTAGGGCCCTCGCGCACAGAGATAATGTAATGGCAGAATTCCCTTTCCGATTGTTTGAAACGGGAAAGGAAACAAGGAGCTTCCAGGATCTAACGTTGCCTCAGATCCTGTAGTTACTCCCCTCTTCTTGCTTTTCAGGCACGGGGAAAATGGAATGAGCTGTATAAAAAAACCTTCAGCAGATTACTTTTCTTCTGGTGTCAGTCTTTTGAAGGGGGAGTGAAAAGCCCGCAACTCTTCAGCGACTTTGCACGGAACTCTATCTCAGCTATATCATCTCCAATTACCTACTCAAGGCAAGTGACTGACGAGGAATTCTTCATCCATACTGCCTTTAAACTCCAGAGAGATTTGAAGGATGACGCACTATACCTTCCCTCTGTGCCCTTTGATGGTGATCATGCATCAAAGGAGGTGAAGACACATGATTGCTGATGGGGACTTTTTAAGATGGGAAATTTCGGGTTTCACAACAAGCATCTCCCAGGAAAAGTGTGGGATTTAGCTTGAGCATCCTTCACGCTTTTACCCATTGTTCCTCCAATGCAGTGCAGCGTCCCCAGCCTCTACCGATGCAGTGCCACGTCCCCAGTGTCCCCCAGTCTGCGGTTAGAGCCCGGACACACTGACCCCAGCCTGGGCAGTGCTACGTCGAGACACAGAGCCATTCTCTCCCTGGTGGTGAGGGGAGGGAGGGGAGGGGAGGAGGGTGGTCATTTAGAGGAAATGGCTATGTCTAGCGGTGCAGTGTTTTTCCTCTGTAGAGGCCTGTGGGATGGTACTGCAGAGTCTGTCACGGTCTGATTGTTCTCAGACCAACGTCGCTGTTTACTCGCGTGCACGTGGTAATGCAGGCAGGTGGGGATGCATATATGCACGCACACACACACACACACACACACACACACACACACACACACACACACACACACACATACACACAGTTGTCTGCGACTTAGAAAAGTCATACATAATCATTGTCTTCAGCAGTCTGAAATTGTACATGCACACACTCAAGCACACGTTATTCTGATTTTCCTCAATTTTCTCCCTTAGACAAGAATTGAAAATATGGAGGCGCATTCTCTTTCTGCGGTCAGCAGGGGGTCTGTATAACAGTCGGAGTGGACTGAATTTCAGAGTGGTGTGTTAGATTGGTAGAGGCAACTCCCAACTCGGTGAATGGCTGTTTGGATGGGTGGGATGAAGCAGGACTATGGCGAAAAAAGTACGGCAGCTCGCTCCACTGGAGACATTATTACACAGAAAGACGAGAGGCTGCTCTAGGCTGAGTGTGTGTGTGTGTATTTTTTGTGTATTTACATTTATACCCTACTGTGTAGAAATGAGAGAGAAAGAAGGGCAAGAGAGTCAGACACTGACAGAACAAGAAAGCTTACATGACTGTTGGTTGTGTGTGTGTGAGTTGGTTGTAGACGTGCTGCCACTGGCTGCAGTAATGGAGTAGTGAGCTAAAATGAATCTTTTCTCTATATTTCTGATGAAAAGTTGAATTTGAGCCAGGAATCAAGTGCTGGATAACAATGCTCAGAATTTCCTTGTGTTTCTGTCAAACCTTATTGGAGAGATTTCAATGTTGGCACACGTCAGACGCACAAATATCAAGTGTATGTAAGTATTGGAGGGAGAAGATGATTAAATTCCTAGGGTGAATTAAAAGAAAACCAGCGGAAAATAATAAATATAAAAAGAAAACATAACAGGTGTTGGGCAGTAATGCATTAATTAGTTTCATGTAACAATGATGTGCTTACAGTTTTCCGTAACAGACACTATAATTTCAATGGCGGTAACTGGCAACATAACTAATAGTTGATAGTTTAAATATCGCAATTAAAGTTACTGATTTGGGAGTATTAATAACTAGATACATTTGTGTTGTCCCACAGCAACACTAAAATAAACGCCTATAGCTGACGGCTGTGTGCGTTAATAAGAATAGACATTAAACTAAGGTTAGCTATTGATGCTCAGTATATCTCATATCTGTGATTCTGGCCCCACATTAGAGGATAATATCAAACATGTTTATTATTTACTAACTTGAAATGGTCTCGTGTGAACAGAAAGCAATGGAATATTATATATCATCATATATATCACCAACCACATGCTAACAGTAAGACTTTAGGGGAAAACAAAGCACACACAAGTGCAAACAGCTGACGGCGATACTCTGCGCCTCCATGTTTGTTTTTTCAGTCACGTTTGATCACACAAGTTTCTGTGAGAGCCCAAGTCTCTGGAATTTGCACTTAAGACTGGATTTTTTTTGTGTGTGATTTGTATATTTTATGCAC